GGACCGCGGAGGAACATCAGAGGTTGGACCTGGAGTCGACTGCACAGCTGAACCGGCAGCGATTTTCATTGCGTCCAGATCAAGCTGTCTCAGCTTCACCTGAGTCTCTGCCTCAATCTCAAGCCTGCGTACCTCCAAACGCAGATTTATCTCAGCTTGACGTGCCTGGGCTTTCTCCTGTGCCTCGTATTGCAAACGGGCCAAGCGGACTCTCAGTCGCGCTCCATCTCTGGAATCAACAGAACTGGGAGAGAATGGATCAAACGGTGGCAAGCCGGCCTTAGCATCGGCCCCCACCTCCGCCTCAGCATCAGCTCTACCGCTCCGTTTATCCTCATCATCCACAAAACTGCGATTTGTCACGGCAACGCCACTCCCACCAACACTCACCTCTGCACCTCCGCCAGCCTCATCACCCACAGGACTTGACACAGGAAGAACATTAATCTCTTTTAAACGATGTATCAATTTACTTTGTATCTCGCTCTTAAGGGTCTGTCTACTCACCTCAATCTGATAGTGGTCAGCTATCAGAACTAAATCTTGTTTCTTGCAAGAACTAATCTGTTCGAAAGACGGGTTGGCAATGAATTTTTTTAAGCTAAACACTTCCATGATGCACAACCAGCAAACGAGTACAAAAATACTGCTCTGCATGAATAAACCGCAAAAATAAACGTAACGTCACTTACCACTATTATACACACATACAACTGATCACAACTGAATTAACTTGAGATAAAAGATCCTGGACGAGCCCCCATTAAATGTTACGTACCCTCAAACAAGTTTGTTTGAAAGGGGCAACATTGAGGTTGTGATCAGGAGATGGTGCACATTATAATGGCAAGAGACGACCCATACTCAGAGTTGTGAAAATATAAAGTATGATTTATTTGACAAATGATATTTTAATGCAAAGATAAATAAATATAATAATAATAATAGAGTATAAGGACATAAAGTGAAGCCAAATAAAAGAAAGAAACAAAACAAACACCAATTAACTAAACCCCAACCTCTTAGCTCACTAATAACAAAAAGAAAATAAAAGACAAAGATCTTCAGCGCAAAGCGCCCTCTCTACCTACACTAACTAATAACAAAACATACAAAAGTGGCATTCACTCTCTTACCTGGTGTAGTATACATCGAGTTTACTAGGTGTTGTTTTATGTACGTCACGTGACATTTTTCCTGTCCAAATTACTCTTGGTAACCTCAAAACACGCCATCAAAGGCAGAACACGTTACAATTAGTAACCTCAAAACACGCCATCAAGGCAGAACACGTTACAATTAGTAACCTCAAAACACGCCATCAAGGCAGAACACGTTACAAGTGGTAACCTCAAAACACGCCATCAAGGCAGAACAAAACAAACAGAGTAATGTCTGTAACAGAAAAATAACGTACATACAAGCGGCAATCAACACACAGAAAGAAACAAAGCTGTCTTGCGTTCTTCTCCCGCTTCCCTTTAAACTCGTAGGTTGAACTTGATAGGCCACGGGAGGGAGATGACGTCATGATGTGAATGAAGATTGACATCGCTCTCAACCAACAGCGGACAAGAGATGACGCAAACCTAAGAATAGGATAGTGGTAGAAGAGAGAGAAGAGAAATAGAAACCAAAAGAAAACATACGACCACAGGGACGTAACAATGGTTCTCAGAGATAGTATCTCTGCTCAACGGTTCGCCGTGGGCGATTCCAAAGAGGAAGGACCTTCTGTCCCAAGCGGAGGGCATGATACTCCATCCCAGGCCCGACCTTTAGAACCTTCATGTTTGGCTCCTGATGGGTACCATCCTAAGTGCTGGGGTTTCCCTCACTAGAAAGAGTTATGCCAACAAGTGGGGTGTTTTTGAAAGTTGGTGTGTTGTACATCCGGTCAACTGCCAGATTGCCTCAGTTCTGGATTTCCTGCAGGAAAAACTATCAACAGGCACATGCTCAGCCACTCTCAGGGTTTTTGTGGTCGCTCTTTCGGCTTTCCACGCCTTGGTTGACGGGATGCCACTCAGGAGACATCCTCTACTCGCTCGCTTCATTCGTGGGGCCAGACAACTGAGGCCTCCCGTAAGAAAATTCCTTCATGGGACTTAGCTATAGTCCTAGAGGGTCTGGTTTCCTTTCCCCTTCGAACCTCTAGAGTCAGCGTCTGAAAAACTTCTGACCCTAAAGATGTTTTTTTTATTATGGCTATAACCTCTCTACAAAGAATCGGGGACATGCAGGCATTGTCAACATCGCCATCCTGCTTAGACTTTGCCCCCAGAAATGGTGAAAGTGATTTTGCATCCTCATCATGATTACCTGCCTAAGTTACCATTCTCAGCTGTACATCCGGCCTTTTGCCCTCCGCCAGTCACAATGCCGGAACAGGAGAGATCTCATAGACTGTGTCCTGTCTGCGCTCTTCAGACTAACTTCCACTGCACCAGCCAGTGGCGGAAGTCGGAGCAACTATTTGTTTGTTATGGGGGCAGTAACAGGGGTGCTGCCGCAACTAAACAGACCATGTCACGTTGGGTCAGGGATGCTATTGCTCTTGCCTATGATGCGCGCGGCCAAGTTTCGCCAATGGGACTAAGGGCTCATTGCACCAGAGGGGTCGCCTCCTCTACTGCTTTGGCAAGGGGTGCCCCCTTACATGTTTGTAATGCGGCAGACTGGTCCTCTCCGCACACATTCATAAGATTTTATAGGTTGGATGTTCATGCCACTCTGGGCTCTTCCGTCCTTGTGTCAACATCACAAGCTAATGTCTAGGGCTTTCTTGCGTTCTTGTGAGCACACCTGGAGTCCAGATACCCTCAAGCACGGCGGCGTGGGCATTCTCGTTTCCAATGCGCTAAGTAGCACAGCATCGATTGTAGCTTTTGAAAAGGAACGTTCTGGGTTACTTGACTGTAACCCTGTTCCCTGAAAAAGCGGAACGAGATGCTGCGCTGCATTGCCGTGCTGATGATGTCCCAGGACTGCTCTTCAGATAAAATATCCTGACGATGCACCTACGCCTCATCTATTTATAGCCTTGCGTTGCGGGTGCATGCCAATGATGTCACCGGCTGAGGCTATATTACTTCCAGTCGATTCTATCGACGTGTTTACACACTATATTCACAGCGGGTCACGGTTAAAGATGTTCCCAATGCACTAAGCAGCGCAGCATCTCGTTCTACTTTTTCAGGGAACAAGATTACAGTCAAGTAACCCCGAACGTTATACATATAAAAAATGAATATACACACATTAAGGTTCCATTTATAAGAAACAACTTGGTGACAGATCTTCATTCATCCAATTCGGGATACATGTGTTTAAGTTACAAATATACCAAGCCTCTCGTGGCAGGAGGCGGTTCTCACGGTCTCCCCCTCTTGGAGACCGATTGACAAGCTCTAAGCCTAATGCTTGACAGCATGTCCCGCAGAATTAAAATGACTTGCGGCTGATGACTTGTCATCATTCTTTCTGATAGCGTATTCATGCTCAAAAATTCTGGTTTTGAGTTAAACTCTTAAAAAATATGGATATTTTTCTAACAAAAATGCTTCGCTTCACTTGACCCCCTGGAACCATAAGGATTTCTTTTATGATGAATGCACTTTTTGGAGCTTCAAAAACTCAGGCTTTACTCCAATTACAAAGCTTGGAAGAGTCATTCAGAGTTATATTAAAAAAATAATAATCCTGTTTGGCTGAAAGGATAAAGTCATATGCATATAGGATGGCTTGAGGGTGAGTAAATTATGAGTTAATTTCCATTTTTGAGTGAACTAACCCTTTAAGTTTTTTAATCTTGGTGCTACGCATAAGATATGGTTGGTATAAACAAGTATCGACTTGCTACTGTTCTGTATAGCAAGAAAATTCTGGATCTTATGCTGTAGAATCACAGTGATGCTGGAATCAACAATAAATATTTAAGTCAGAGATCAAACTCTAAATGAGTTCAGTGATACAGGACAAATGATGATAATGCTAAAACATAATCAACACCACTTGATCAACTTTTCTCTTTGTTCATCTGACAGTTATAACTCAGATAAAACAGCTAAACAAAATCTAATGTTAACAGTTTAAGGCCCAACTAAAGCAAACACCGATCACCATAATGGTGTCTTAAAAAATAGATGTCCTCCTTCAGGTGTCTTCAATAATGGTTAATCATCACTCAATTAATCACTTAATGAGCCCATTAACTTTAACACTCTTGATTTAACACTCATATTTTACCATTTTAACACTCTTGAGACTGGAGCCATATTTAACACTAGTTTTTGTTTTTAATTTAGTTTTTGCTGTGTACAATATCAAGAGAGAGACTCTGCTAAGCCATTTATTTTTTTGTAAAAGTTGTTGTTTAAAGGTTTTAATGATACCTTAATTATTTATGGTAGATTTTAACTAATCACTATATTTGAGTAGCCTTGAAATAACCTTAAAATAAAGGAAATACAATTTTTGGGTACAAATATGTACACATACAGCCCCAGTGACAAACTACTGCACCCCTAAAGGTACAATTATGTACTTTATTTTCTGAGAGTGTAATATGTTTGTTTTTATTTCAGACAATGTGTGAAACATCCACTAATGTCCATGTTGACATCATTTTGAAATGCATGGCATGATAAATTCACTTAATTTCTATAGCTGGTTAGCGTCCTGCAGTGATGACCATAAATCACACTAGTTTTAATAAATGGTGGAACCCTGAATCATTTCAGAAACGTTTGTGGCACTCAGTGCAGCGGGGAAGAGCTCCTACAGAATAGCAGATGGTGTGGGTAATTGTCATTGTTATGTGAAGATGCAGTAAACTCTGACACTGAAGCTGGATGACTACATGCTGAATGGAATGATTGTTCCAGTCAATGTAAGGCCAAGAAAGGGGTGAAGAAAAGTACTATGTTTTGGTGGTCACAATGTGAGTAAAAGCAATGTATTGGGCGATGTATTGTAAATAATTGAATTGTTATTTTCAGGTATGGATTTAGCAGATATAAATACGGTGGTTTCAGGTAAGCATTGTAAACTTTCCTCTTTCATAATGTGCAATAATTAATAATAATAATAAAAATAGGGTAACACTTTACAATAAGGTTATTTTAAACATTAAACATTAGTTAATGTATTAACTAACATGAACTAACCATGAGCAATACATTTGTTACTGTTTTTGTTAATCTTTGTTAACTTTAGTTAATACAAATCCAGCTGTTCATTGTTTGTTCATGTTAGTTCACAGTGCATTAACTAATGTTAAAAAGATTTTAATAAAGTATTAGTAAATGTTGAAATTTACATTAACTAAGAATGAACAATACTACTTCCGCATTTGTTAATCTTTCTTAATGTTAACTAATGTAGTTAACTAATGAACCTTATTGTAAAGTGTTACCAAAAATAGTAATAAAAACAACCAATTCACTTCAGTCAGTAATACAATTATTCGTTCCTTGACATTCTTTTTGTTTGTTTGTTCATTTATTTATTTATACAGCACCTTACAGATTGCAATCCATAAAAACATTGAGAGTTTAGGAAGATTTAGAACCCATTGGTTGATTATTCCACAATCTTGGACCAGCGACAGAGAAATCACGATCATCCTTCAATTTGAGATGCCCACGAGGAACTTTTAGAAGAAACTTGTTTGATGATATTAGTATTACGCCTGGACTGTAAGGCTTAATAAGTTTAGCTAAGTATTCTGGCACCATTCCGTGAAGTGATTTAAAAACGTATTTAAGAATCTTTTACTGTATCCTAAATTGTACATGGTAGTCAAAGAATAACAAGGGAGTAACATGATCCATTTTCCCAGCAATCATTAACAACCTTGTAGCAGCAGTTTGTACTAGCTGTAAGCGAGCAACGTATGTTTGGCAGGTCCCAAAATTGGTTTTGATTTGGCTATTGCCCTTAAATAGAAGCAATTATGAACCACCATTTTTATCTGTCGATCAAATATGATAGATGAGTCAAGTCAAGTCACCTTTTTTTATATAGCGCTTTTTACAATACAGATTATATCAAAGCAGCTTCACAGTGATAAGATGAAAATAATACAACGCAGATCAATAATATTGTTGAATATTAAATGTCCCCAACTAAGCAAGCCAAAAGCAAGGCAACAGTGGCAAGGAACCAAAACTCCATCAGGTGATTGAATGGAGAAAAAACCCTTGGGAGAAACCAGGCTCCATCGGGGGCCAGTTCTCCTCTGGCCAACGATGGAACAGTGTGATTCGGGCAGCATTACAAGTCAAATTGGATCGGAACATTAAGAGAATTTGTCCATTTCCATCTGTTTGGATGTCGAAGGAATCACGCCAGTATGGAGACGAGTTGTTGAGGATCAGTGCTGATGGCTGTCGTGTCGATGAGGCCGGCACTTAAGGATGAGTTGGGATGGGTCCCTCGGGATAAACAGAGAGAGTAATATTAGCATAGATGCCATCCTTCTTATGATGTACCAAGTACATCAGAATTTACGGGACGTGTTCCCGGTTCCGGCTGATCTAAACTATGCAGCCTAATTTTGAATTAAGGAAGACTAGTGTGTTATGTGTATGCTAGGCCAAAGAGATGTGTTTTTAGTCTAGACAGAGTGTGTCTGCTTCCCGGATAATGTTAGGGAGATTGTTCCAGAGTTTTGGTGCTAAATAGGAAAAGAATCTACCGCCTGCAGTCGATTTTGATATTCTAGGTATTATCAATTGACCGGAATTTCGAGATCGAAATAAATGTGAAGGACTATAATGCGTTAAGAGCTCGCTCAAGTACTGGGGAGCAAAACCATTTAGTGCTTTGTAAGTAATCAGCAATATTTTAAAATGTATACGATGTTTAGTAGGCAGTCAATGCAGGGTTGACAGAACCGGGCTAATGTGGTCATACTTCCTTGTTCTGATAAGAACTCGAGCTGCTGCGTTTTTGAACTACCTGAAGTTTGTTTATTAAGCGTGAAGGGCAACCACCCAGTAGAGCACTACAATAATCTAGTCTTGATGTCATGAACGCATTAACTAATTGTTCCGCATTTGTCAATGAGAGTATATGGTGTAATTTAGATATATTTTTAAGATGGAAAAATGCGGTTTTACAGATACTAGACACGTGACTTTCAAATGAGAGATTGGAGTCATGATAGAGCACACCCAGGTTTCTAACCGACGACTAAGTCAAATGACTATGCAATTTCTTGTAGGTTGCTATGTTTAGAAAGTGTCTCTCTACAAACATAAACTAGTGTTTTTAATAGCCATGTAAAGCTCATAGCTTTCTATTATTTTGTATTACTCAGGTGATGTGGGTCAATTGATGGATGAATGTAAGAGTCTGAGGGAACAATGTCATGCACTGCAAGATGAAAACACAAGACTGACTCATAGATTGCACATGCTACAAAAGAGGAGGTGAGAAACTACACCTTTCGATACTCAATTGTCTCCAGTTCTGTCATTTTATGTCATCTGGAATTTGTGAAACTTATACATATGTTGAATGAAAGCATTTATCACAGTTTTTTTGGCAAACTTTCATTGAAAACTCTTTCCGGCACTGACATAATTCCTATTGGAATTCCTAACTGGAAACTGGGGCCGGACTTAGTTATTTATTTTTAAAAGAAATTGCAAACAGCCTTTAGTTTACAGCACAGCCTGGCAAGTTTGGATTAATTGAGGGTGGAGGGAGATTCACATTCCAGTAAGCATTTTATTGGACTAAAGTTTCTAAAAATCTAACAATCTCATAATTTTTTATTTTATTTTCCGGAAAAGGATATATATAAATATATATCTGCAAAAAAAAAAAAAAAAACTTTAGGAACATAACATTTGAATTTGCGATCACATGTATTGTGTATAGGGAGCAGCAGTACTGACCACACATTTTAGATGTCAGGATCAGTTGCGCACCAAAACCTCCAACTTCGTCCCATCAGTCATCTCTCTGTACTATCTTCACATGATAAGTTAAGTCTGATGTACTGTAAAGTAACCAGCTACAGCAGCAAGCCTAACCATGTCCCTTTAGGGGCTCCATAGAATGCGTTACTCATATTCTGTGCTTTTCTGTCTCAAAGACATAGATTTGATATCCCAAAACTTTGGATTTGGATTTCATTCTGAGCTATTCCTGCCCTACATTTTTTTTTTTTTCATTCCAGAAGCCGGTTCACTTGGATAAACATCACAATAGGGAAGAAAATACTTACATTCACTCCTGTATTTATGCATCTTGTTTTGGCTTTTATGTCTCAGTTCAGGCAGTTCCTACATATCTCTCAGAGAAGAGCAGGAAGAGACAGAAGAGGGAAACTATATGCAGTGTGGAACAGAGATGGAAACCGGAGGTTCTTATATGAGTGTGAATCAAATAGGCTCCAACTGCAGGCTGGTGGATGCAGGTATCCAGAAGAATATATCGTTTGAAGGCAAACCTATCACCCCCACCAGCTGGACAGGAGGTTTTTCAGAGATCCTCTCATTGAGAGATCAACTCAAACAAACAGAAGAGAAGGCCACACACGTGCAGCGAGAGGTACACACCCTGTTGTCCTTTTTTCTTTTTCATTTTTTTTTTAAGATTTCCTAAGAATATGTTCTCTACATTCTACTTAATTGTGTTTTTTAGTGTGATGGAGTAAAGAATGAACTAGAAAATCTGCGGGAAATGTATGAGACCAGTCAGAAGGAGCGAGCGGAACTGGAGCTAGAGTTACTGCGCTGCAGGGAAGAGATGGAGAGGGCTGCTGATGTAAAAGAGGTACATTGATTATATTGAAGTAGGTGAATATATATATATATATATATATATATATATATATATATATATATGACCTTTTATAACAACTTCTAATTCTATATAAATATGCACATAAGTAATAGTTTTTTAAACATATAAATTAAATATATATATATATATATATATATATATATATATATATATACTGTATGTGTGTGTGTGTGTGTGTGTGTGTGTGTGTGTCAGTATACCTGAAAATAAAATTTGAATAATATCTGAATGCAATAATCTGGGATATTATTATACTCTGAATAGTAATATAGATAAACCATCAGGTTTAATGAGGATTAATGTGATGTTAAATTAACAATAAACTGAATTCCACTGCATTCCCACATTTGATGAAGACAGACAAATTGAATAACGTTTAATCCATCCAGAACGTTTCTACAAATATGGATACTTTTAAACAAAAACACGCTTTTCATTATTGCACTATTTTTTGGCATAACACAGAAGGATGTAACAGAGGTAAAATACAAATAACAAGTTTATTTACAGGTTTGGCAGACAATTGAAGTAAGCGGGTGAGACTCTGAGAAATGGGTAGTTGTAGAAGGAATGGCAGTGGATAACAGTCTTATCTGTTGCAGATGCAGATTGTTGGTGATGGTGGACCGGATGGCTGAAGCTGAAGGCAGAAAACTGATGTTGATGAGGTGATTAGTGACAGCTGGTGATGATTGTGGCTTGGGTGCTGGTGGTGGACCAGGAAGGATTCTAGGAGATGAATTGCTGAAGGTGACTGGGCTGGTGATGTAGGATTGTGAGTCCTCCCCCACCCTTCCCAGAAGGCGTGACCTCACGCCTAATAGAATTCATCCAGGGAGGGAGGGAGGGCGGGGGTCGACAGGAGTGGTAGCCTCCAGAGTGGCACTGGCAGTGCATGTAGCTCAGTGGACCATGTAGGATTGGCCTCCATGGCCTTAATACTAGGGCAAATAGGAAATTCGGGAATAACCTTTCTAGTCGTATTAGGGCAGACAGAAAATTTGGGGACGACCCTCTTGGTCGTATCTGGGAAAACAGGGAACTCGAGAATGACCTTTGTGGTCATATCTAGACAGACAGAAGACTGGGCTGAGCTGAGGATGATGGTGAGCACGGGGCGCTGGTCAGGAGCTAGATCCCTGGATCCTTCACCGGAGTGTACTCTGAAGTGGACTCTTTGTCTGGGGAGAATTCTCATATGGACTCAAGGACTGGTGGTAAATTTAGAGGTAACTCACCGGTATGAGTGGGTTATGGTATACTGTGGATTCAGGGGTTAGAGTTGGCTCCAATGTAGATTATTGGGCCGTAACGGGCTCAAAACAGAACTCAAAAGTTGGAACGGACTCATAACGAATTTTGGGCTGTTTCTTCTTCCTCCTTTGAGTTGAGGTTAAATGAGGCGCTGAGGCTTTAGTAGTCCTTGGATTTGGCTCAGACTCAGGAGCAGGCTCATGGTTTGGAGCAGATTCTGCATCTGGAATTATCACTGAATGTTGGGACTGGAGCAGGCTTGGGACTGAACTCTGGGACTGAAGCGGACTCTGGGATTTTTCTCACTGGAACAGACTGGGGAGTTTCTCCCAGTGGAACAGACTGGTGAATTTCCCTCACTGGAACAGGCTCAGGAATTTCAAAGACTGGAATGGATTCAGTGATTTCTCTCACTAGAACGGGCTCAGGGATTTCAATTACTGGAATGGATTTGGAAGCAGATTCTGGATGTAGGGACTTGATAGGGGAAGTTGTCTTTAGCGCCTTCCAGACGGAAATATGTGCAGGATCTGCCCCTTTTGCTCCCAGGTCAGCACTGTTCGATACCATCTTCCGGCCTCAAGGGAATACTGGAGACTCAGGCCTGGCGGGGATGATGGCTGGAGATGCTTGTGCTCGCATGAGGAGTGAAGATGTCAAAGGACTTGCGAGGAGTTTGGTGGTGTTTGATGGCCCAATGGACAAAACCTCTGATGCCAGCATGGCTGGTTGGAATGGAGAGAAAGCAACTGAGTGAAACTGGGGTCTTCAAATGCCAACATTGAGGGAAGAATAACTTAGCCACAGCACATAATCACAATAGCTCTCAAGGGAACAAGTTGTAGCTGACGCCGGTATCTGCTGATAAAGATGGTAATTCAATCCTCTCCAAAACATGATCTTCATGGTACCATCATTCCATGGGACCAAGTTGGAAAGCTCAAGAAATTCCTTTACGTAATCCTCAACTAGACTACCATCTGGGAAAATGGAGATTCGCTGGATCACAAGGGGTGAGGAAAAGGCCCATAGTTGGGTCTGGTCTTCTGTCATAAAACAGAAGGATGCAACGCAGGTAATATCAAAATAACAATTTTAGGTTTGGCAGACAATTAAAATAAGCTGGCGAGAATCTGAGAAATTGGTAGTTGTTGGAGTGTTGGATATGGTGGACCGAATGGTAGGGATGGCTGATCCGAAAAACCTACATTTTGACGCTTTGTCGAGATCCCGAAACGTTGATGTTTCAAAACCCATCCTTCTGTTCCGAAGCGACTATGGCTAAATGAAGCATCAGAGCGTTTCAGAAGTGTTTCGATGGTGGTATACCCGCCGAATCTGCATTTGATTGACGGGGTCGGGAACAGACCAAATCACGCTTCTGTCTCAACCTACTCCCTCAAAGTTTAAAATGAAGTTACTGCATCTTCACCTCATGGGTTTTTGTGAGAGGAGAGAGATTTTGACATAGCGGATGTTTTTGTGGATATATTGACATTTTATGCGATTTGTTAAAAAAAAATTAAGTTAAACTGTCATGTGGTTGGCTTTGACATTGTGGTTGGCTTTGAACCCCCCTCTATAGAGCGGCTACCAGAAGCTCCAAGACCCACAAAAAACAAACAAAACAAGAGTCCAGGAGGGTGGTGGAACGATGGAGAATCAGGGAGAGGGATGGGGGAGCCAGGTCCATGGAAGGGAACAGAAACAGGGAGTGACGGTTTAGCCGGCAGCAGGCCCTGGCTCCGGCTCAGGAAAAGCAGGCCCTAAACAGGCTCTGAGCCACTAGAAAAGAAAACGGCCACAAGGAGAGACACAAACACAGAAACAAACGCTGGCTCTGGCTCAGGAACAGACACTGACTCTGGCTCAGGAACAGACACTGGCTCCGGCTCAGGAACAGATACTGGCTCCCGGCTCAGGAACAGACACTGGCTCCGGCTCAGGAACCACGGACACGAAAGGTCTTAAAGGCCTCTCCAGGATCTGACCCAGACGTTCCAAATAGTCGGTCAGTACCCCCCAGGTCAGTCTCTGGCGTGACGTGGCGTGAACCGTCTCTGGTGGGGCAGACGTGATGTGAATGATCTCTGGCTGGGCAGACGGGATGTGAACAGACTCTGGCTGGCTAGACGGGACGTGAACGGTCTCTGGCTGGGCAGACAGGACTGGAAGGGACGTGAACGCTCTCTGGCTGGGCAGACGGGAAGTGAACGGTCTCTGGCTGGGCAGACGGGACATGAACAGTCTCTGGCTGGGCAGACAGGACATGAACAGTCTCTGGCTGGGCAGACGGGACGTGAACAGTCTCTGGCTGGGCAGAAGAACATGAACAGTCTCTGGCTGGGCAGATGGGACATGAACAGTCTCTGGCTGGGCAGACGGGACGTGAACAGTCTCTTGGCGGGGCAGACGGGACGTGGACAGTCTCTGGCTGGGCAGACGGGACGTGAACAGTCTCTGGCTGGGCAGACAGGGGAGAAGAGACATGGACGGTCTCTGGCTTGGCAGATGGGACGTGAACGGTCTCTGGCTGGGCAGACGGGATGTGAACAGTCTCTGGCTGGGCAGACGGGACGTGAACAGTCTCTGGCTGGGCAGATAGGACGACAGCGGGCTGCATGGGGACAATGTCTGGTACCACAGCGCCCTGTACGGAGACGACCTCCGGGACATTATAGAGAAGGGAAATCTTCCTCCTCCTCTGTCGTTTCTTATGGCAAGGTGCAGGCTCTGGGCTGAACAGAACCCGTGGCGAAGGGTGCTCTGGGCTGAGCATCACCGACCCATGGTCGAAGAAAGACCGGAGTGGAGAGTGGGTCCATGGCTCACCTCTAGGACTCCCCTGCAGGCTCCAGTAGTGTTGTAGAACTCGAGACTAGTCTTTTTGATGGTCGCGACCACTTTTGGTCTTGATCTTGTCTCGGTCTTGGACATTGAGGACTCAGGATTTTTTTTCAAGACCAGACAAGCATAGCTGTTAACCCTTCCATTTTTTTATGGGTATCTCACGTATTTTAGTTATTTTCTCGCTGTCTTCCCGTTTTAGTATTTTCCCATAAAATATCCCGTATTTTTACGTTTTGACTGTGTGAGGCGGACAAGCTCAGACCGATTCGGCTTTAAGTCGTTCATCCTCGGACACAGCGCCGCGCGCGTTGTCACAAAAAAAAAGCTGTACACACTACACAGCCATGCGAAATGAGGTCTTGCCTGTCATGTGCACCCAACACGTCTTTTTTGCCGTGCTCGTGCGGACGCGTCGAGTATAAAGGCTTTACTCCGTGTCAGCACGCGCTCTGATTGGTAAAGGTGCACAGAGCTCTCCCAATCATCTCCTGCATTCAGCACTCAGCCCAAAGCCCGTCGGTTTCCCTCATAAGCTGATATTAGAGTATTTAAACATTCTCTATGATATATATTTTTTAAATGACACACTGTCTCTTTCTCTCTCACACATATGTAGGCTAGTTATAAAATCCTTAGACTTTTAATGGTTAGTGCTTTATTTTTAAAGTTTGAGGGTAAGAATAAAAGGTAAGAAAAAAAATCCCTTATTTTGGGGATGGATTCCAGGAAATCTCACTTATTTTCAATGTTCAATGTTGACAGCTATGGACAAGACCTTAACTGTGAAAATATCACTAATTTGCCAGTATATTGACTACCTTTTTTGTTAACATCCTTGCTTTCATTGAATGTAAAACATACTGATTCAAATCCAAGCAATAACGTGACTCATTGGTCATTGCTAACAACAAAGTTATGAAGATTAATATGATTACTTTACCAACTTATAGTTGTATAGTAAAATGTATGCGTTTTATATTAGAAATGACTGTCCGAAACACAGTGAGTAGAAATTTTCAGCTGTCCGGAACACCGTGAGTCCTCATGGTAATCCGGACACTGCGTCTCCCGGCAGTTTTTTCAAGATTTCTCTAAAAAGATTAGCTCAAAATGTGTCAAACAAACCTTGAAACGTGTGGAAGGCATGTCCCCAGAGACAGATGAGCAATCAGGTTTATCTTTCAACGGGTTGATATCTTAAAGGACGTTTTACTGTGCAAAGTGTCCGGAATACAGTGAGTCTACGTTAAGTAAGTTACTGAGCCCTCCTTCAGGAACACCCGCTTGCGAATCCACATTTGAATTCATTTATGTTTTTGAACGATTAATTAAAATGATGAGAACACAATCGGGCTATACTGTTGTGGTATCGTTGCAAATATGAACTCAAACCACCGATTCTTCACATGATCGTCCCTGGTAAATGAAAACAAAGTGGCTGAACTATGATGAAGTATTTGAATGTGAAGACTTCAAGTTTACACTTCCGTCTGCGCGCGGCAGTAACTGGGCGCGGCCAGTATGTATCTACGTCACGATGTAACAGCTAATGACTCGTTTCATAAACAATTCATTTCATAGACTCAGAGTCGACTCTCACTTTTGAAAGACAATAACTTTATATATGGTGCACTTTCAGATATAAATCTTTGCAGGATGTTTTCATTCCCTTAGAGCTATATTCCACACCATATGAACAGTCATTTTCAAAAATCCATGATAGGGGCTCTTTAAGTTTGATCATTTATGAATCTGCCATGTCATGTTTATGACAGGTTGTGTTGTCTTAGTAATGTCAAGTTGTCATCATAAAGACACTGACAGGTTATGATGTATTGGTTTATGTCAAGGTGTCATAACAAAGACATCTCAAACAATGTCATATTTGCATTACAAATGTTATAACTGAGTGAATGACACTTAATGACAGTTGTCACAAACATGCTAACACAGTCTCATCCCAAGTCGTCATAACTGACGTTTTGGGACGTCTTTTGACCATACGTCAACATCCGCCTTTTTAGGGTACCCTTAAACGTCGGTTAGTTGACGATCCCGGGCCGTCTATATTTAACGTCAGTTAGGTGACGGGGTAGTTTTAGGGGTAACGTCAACTAACCGACGTTTAAGGGTACCCTAAAAAGGCGGATGTTGACGTATGGTCAAAAGACGTCCCAAGACGTCAGTTATTTGACGTCTTGGGATGAGACTGCGCTGAACATGCATACAACTTCCTTCATATTCATAACGTATGTCATGTCATGATTATGAAGGTGTCATGTTAGTATTATGCACACCCCTTCAAGTAAAGTGTTACCAATATGACAATATAGTCCATATTCAATGTTAAAAATAGTGCACTATTCATTCAGCCATTTCTTTTGTTGTTAGTCTCCATGTAATTTCTTTCCAATATATCTATCCTGTCATCATCACCCAGTTTCTCTTTTTCTTTATAGGAATGATGCTCAAATAAACCATTGATTTGTTGCTGGCAGTCTGAACTACATCGTATAAAGAACAAAAGGTAACATTAAACATTGATATATTGTTATTTATATTTTGGTCTTAATGGTGTTTTTTATGTTTTGTAAAAACAAATTTTATGCTTTCTAATGACTGGAATAACTTAGACATTGTCATATATTTATTTTGTTAATTATAACAAATAATCTTGTTTTGACATCGGGAAATACTTTAAATTAATAGTCAGAAGGATCAATGAGAAATGTGATTTATTGTGTGCCAGATTATTAACATGCCAATTTCTTTTTTCTTACCTTCTCCCCTGATGACAACCACAAACATCAATATGATCAGCACTCATCACAGCCTCTACAATAACATCTGGAGCTCTGTTTTTTCTGTGTCCTTTTGTCTTTTCGCAATAATAACCAAGACAAAAAAATTCCCACTACAGATCACTTTTTTTCAGCCTGTTCTGAATCGCACATGACTGCTCTTGGTAGAATTCAAAAGCAGTGACCGCTTACCTCTGTTATATTCTCTATTACAATTTTTCCTATAATATTTCACATGTGCTATATATGTGTTTAGAAAGTAAGTTTTAATGATGTTTTTTGATTTATTCACCATAGCTACTGTTTGTGTTGTGTTGTAGGCTTAAATATATTCAATATCATGGCAAGACTACATTGATGAATTCTTCCTTAAATGAGATGAAGTGCAAGAAATATATTAGTTGTAACAGGCCAAAACAAGCACTGTTAAGGAGGTCCAAATTGGAAATAAAATTTGAAGTTTGTGAAAAATGTAAGAAATAAGTGAAGTAAAATTTTAAAATAATTACTTTTAAAAATACTTAAAGCTGCAGTCGCATAGTTTTTCCTCTTTGGAATGACAAGGATTTGGAATGAATTTGGAAGGATTTAATCAGCGCGATTTACTCCAATGTTTTTTTTTCCCCTTAGTTGGTCAGAACAAAAGTGGATGTTACTTACTTGTTCAGATAACATTTTCCAGTAAAAATTAGTATTAATTAACCCTAACCCTAACTTCCAAAAAGTAGAATCTGTGATTCTGAATGACATTATCCACACTGGCACGGTGACTAACAGCCGCATATTCTCCTCAAAACATTGGATTCATCTGTGCTGTGCCGTGCCGAGGCACAACCCATGTAAAGTTGATAATTCCACAAATAACTGCAATTGCAGATTTCGAACAGAGATGGCGACATCTCTGTTCAGCTTATCATATCACATCGAACCGTGCAAATTATACTTTGTTTTCAAATTGTTAATGTCAACATCAGCATTGCGTAACTACATGTAATGCCCTTCAGATATTTATCCTTGTTTTTTGCATGGGTCCGGTTGCAGTCTCTTTTTTTCTCCCTGCGGAAATCCACCAGTACCACTGGAATTAAAAACATTATATACTACGGCAAGCAGATAGTTTTGAACACTGGCTGGTTATGCTCAAATTTATTTTGGATAATTTTGAACCCAAAAAAGTTATGGACTGGAGCTTTAATTGTACTATTATAATAAGAATATTTAATTATAAAAATAGTTATTTTATACCTTATATATTATTTTATGAAATTTTACACAATGAAATTGGTTTGCAATAACTGCTAAAATCTGTTCTTTTTATATTTTGATGCATGTTACCGCATGAGGCAACACTATATACTGCCATAAATTATTGTATTTAGATTAGTACATTGATAAGAATAATGTGTTATTACAACAAAATGCCCCCTTAATTGTGAACTGAACATCATTAGTCAACAAACAACGTACATTATTTAACTGTGGCATGCATTTAGTTCATAAACTAAACCCAAGGTCACTGATGTAAAAAGTAAATGTAACCTCATATTTAGTAAATAGTTTAGTAAACAGCTTACAGAAACCACTTTTAGTGAATAGATGT